GCTCAGGAAGCCACAGGGGGTAAACAATTAATCTTTTAATTGATCAAAATTATTGCCGATAATTGTTTGTTGGACACATATAGATATATCAATCAAAGGATTAGTGTCGCCATTACAATGCTGTTAGGGGATAATCGTTCGTCATTAGCGTTCTAGACTAGTTTATAAAAACATGACAATAAAATTATATAAAAATGTAAAATTTCTTGCTTCAAAGTAGATTATTTTAGATTTTTTTTTACCGGGACATAAATCATCTCCGGGACACCACCGGGACAGACACCTTATTTCCGGGACGTAATGGCATGTATGGATGATTAAAGAAAAAAAAACACATTGTGAACATAGGAAAAAAAACAAGAATAAAGATCAAGGCAAAGGCAACGTTCACAGGACGCAGCCCCCAAACATCCAAGTAAGGCACCCAGAAGGTAGTTAGCAGACGGAAGACATCCGTCCTTCACACTCTTGTCCGGAATATGAATATAACTAGATACGTATAGAAGGGATTTTATGTAAACTTCACAAAGTGGTAGAGACTTTTGAGAGGAAGTGCAGTGTTCAAGAAACATAACTCTACCTTGCTTCATGTTTTAATTATCTCCCTTAAGTTAAAAATGCTTATTCCAAACTATCACTGAAACCACACCCAGTTGTACAGACTCGAATTTGCCAAAGTATCAAAGAACCCTAACTGCATTCCTTAGTTTTTTAATTATCTTCCTTTAATACATGTACTTAATTATGCTTGTCCGGGAAATACTGGAAAAGAGTTGATGGAATTTGAATAAAATTTTACACAGCGAAAACATTGAAGTGAAAGGAAGTGTATTTTCAAAGAACCATAATTTTTCCTAGCTTAATTTTACAATTATTGGCGCCCGCGCCGAAGCGCGGCGCCCTTATGGAATGAGAAAGGGCGACAGCAACTTCTCGAGCCTTTTAGTCGTTCATCATAAAAGCCGATCATTCCAATCGGTATGAGGGTGCTTGATTATTAATTAAGAATGAAATGTCGCGATATGTTATAATGAATAGCGAACTGGAGAATTTTCGCAATGCAAACATTTTCAAATGAAATAACCTTTTCCGTGGTACGTGTTGATCATGCGTTACACATATGGATTATAAATGATTGTATACATGTATATCCGTTGCTATTAATAACCACGATCATAAAGAAATCACAAGTAATATTCTAATCTCTAGCATGCCAATCAAAGTTCATAATGAACAATGTCTTTCGTCCGCTCATTCATAAGTGATATACATTTCTGGTAGTTTATAAGAATATCTTGTCATCATATGTCTACTAGTTCATCTTCACTTGCTGCATTTCTTGCTTGGACGCCCTTTGATGCTTTGCATCAATGCTTTTCTTGTCATCTCTTATAATACATCAACATTTAAAGTATTGTTTGTCTGGAGTAAATCTTTTTCAATAACATCTCACTCAAACTAAATACAGTTGTAGAGACTGAGCAGAAGTGCTGTGTCAAATAACCAAAATTACTTAGTTTTTGAATTATCTCCGTTTATATTATTTCAGATAAAAGGATACCGCTACACTATCGTGGTATAAGCTTGTTGTCGTGAATGTCAGACATAATCCCCTTCGGACAAAATCCCCTTCATGGGTGGACATAATCCCCTTCATGTTTTTGCAAGGCTGGACAAAATGATTAATCCCCTTCACTACCCAGACAAAATCCCCTTGTTTCATAGGTTTCTAATGTAATATTATGCTCCATAAAAATTGATGAATAATGTATAATTATACTCCCTAAAAATTGATGAATAATGAACTTTTGTTTTTTTATTTAAAATTATGTATCAATAGTTATTTAGTTTAGAAGTTTTCATTAAAATTATGGTTAATTATCAACTGCATAACACATATTTGATTAGGCAATTTCTTTAATTGTTTTAAATTGATTAGTATGAAAAACATTTTTATTAGCCAATAATTGTTTCATTGATTGTATAAGTTGAAAAAACGAAAACGAGGCTCGAAAATATGGCCGCTTTTTTCAAATATTGAAACTCGAAATATAAAAAAATTGGTGTTTGCGAAGAAAACTGGAAAATATTGGAAAATATTGGGATATACTGATTTGGAAACTATATTTGTTTAGTATATTTGATAATACTTAGTGTTTTTATGGAAATAATCGTGAAAATTTGGACATTACTGTGAAACTGTGAAAAAACTGTGAAAAATCATGGCTTCTAAAGATACCGGTAAGAAAACTTGCGGACAAAACATAAACAAAGGTAATCATTCAACAAACCCTGCAAGTTCGCCAGGGTCAGATGGTGTAAATAGAGCCCCCCAAAACAGTGCAACATTCATTCCGCCTTATAGCGGGCTACAATATCCATTCTTGCCACCCTTCCACATTCCAGGAATCCCTGGGTTTGCGCCAACATCAAGTCCTCCTCAGACATACAATTATGACAATACAAACTCAAATGAAACATTATATGATCTAATGCGACAAATGTCTAACAGTATGCAGTCTATGGACAGTCGCTTGAAATCTATTGAGCAAAATGTAGATAAAATATCAAAAATTGAACAAAATGTTGCTTACCTAAAAGTAAATGTGCAGAAACTCGCGGAAGAAAATAAATCCATGTCTACTAGAATAGCTCACACTGAAAACTCCTGCTCATATATAAGTGGTATTTCTGATGATCTGCTTAAGTCAAAAAGTGAGACCGAAGAATCTGTGAGGCAGTTAAAGGCAACCAACAAAAATCTTCAGTCGCAAATCGATGAACTCGAACACAAAAACAATTATTTAGAAAGTAAACATATAGACATGTATAATAAATGCCTCGACACACAATGCGATGTCCTGAAAAATAACCTTATTGTATTCGGTGTAAATGAGGCCCGCCGTGGATTTGACCAAGATCTAAATGCACCTAGAATTCAACCAGAAATCCCAGAAGTTACCATTAGAAAAACCCTGAAAGACAGTATACAAAACAATATTGATATAAACAAGGAGGCCCCAATTGACGTAGACTCCATAAAATTCTCGCAAGTGAAAAGGATCGGTGATCCTGTGAAAGCAGCAGAGTCGCATCGCCCGAGACCTATAGTGGTATCATTTGAATCATTTAGTGATAGAGAAAATGTAAGAAAAGCAGGCATACTATTTAATAAAAGTCAAAAACAGATTAAAATTCATGAACATTTCCCCAGAGAAGTAGAAGATCGGAGAAAAAAATTGTATTATCCTGCTCGAAAACTATCAGTAACTAGATCAAAAGATTGTGCTAGTCAAGGATCGTCTTTATGTCAATAATAAACTGTTTGACCCTAAAACTTACAAACATACAGACAAATTTGGTAACACTAAATTTCTAGCAAAGCCACAGCCCCCGGCATACGGCGAAAATAGTAACCGTTACACACATCCATCACATATTAACACTTCGGAAGGACCAAGTAATATCCCTGTACAGGGACACGCTCATTCACAAGACAATGGTTTCAAAAACACATATCGTTATAAACCGAGCATACAAAACCAGAAGCGTTTGGATTCTTCAAGACCTTTGGATTTCACTACCCCAAACCGGTATCAATCACTTGCGGTATTAGACCGCACCGACCAACAGAAACGGAAAGTTTGTTCCCCACTAGATATAGAGTTTGTAACAAAGCGTCTAGATGACAGTTCTTCACCGAGCTCCCACGCCACGACAATTCACGGAAACTTCTCGGGAAAAGAAATTCCGTTAGTTTCTTTATTAAATGACGAAATAATAACAGATTCAGTTAGTGAGAATTTGCCAGTAATTACACTGCCCGCGCCTCAAATAGTGTAGGACATATGTGGAGAGTCACGTGATCAATTTAGTGACCTAGTAAACTATTATCGCAGTCGACAGTGTCAGTTTTGCTATACAGCAGATATTGTATGTGAAATGCTTGAATGCACGTGTAAATTTTACCGTTTAAATAACATCTACTGTTTACAACTATTCTATGTAAACGCCTGTTTGATTTTGTATTGCACTTTTCATCGTATGATCTTCAATATACATAAACAATTTGTAGAAACGGCATACTATCACCCATTAGAGTATAAAGCAAAGGGAAACCCGTCTAAATATGAAGAATACCCCAACAATGTAAATATAAGAAATGATAACTTGTTTCCAATTGAATGGACCGGGACGCATACTGTTAATTTCTTACTCTTGCTTATTCATGCGATCACGTATTTTCAATTTCTCTTCTGTAACACACATTGTTTAAAAGCTCAATATCAATTATTGATTGTCATTCAGTACATATTTTATGCAATTAGCTATCTAAAATTGTGTTGCGCATTTTTCCTGACATATGCGTTGTTATTTTTCTTCTACACAACGTTAACAGATTTTCTCATGTATTTTTGTTACTACCACATAAATTTTAATATGATAGGATGTAAATTCCATTTTCATATCACCACCATATACTGTTTAGAATTGTTGAATCTAATGTTAATTTTACAAAATTTTGTATATTTTGGTGCGACTTTCTGTTGCGTAATTAACAATATGATTATTTTTTATATTCAAAATCAATCAATTGCCATCCACTTTTTTAAACTTGTATTTCTGTCTGAGGTTACGGCATTACATTTTGTGGAGTACTTAATTAACGGTTATCATACTATAAGAGCAAAGATAGAATTATATCATTGCTTTGAATTTTTGACATACTATCTTAATGTAAGAACAGTGCCATTTGGGAAAGAAGAATTATATTTTTTTGATAATAATAGCTCTAACTTCCACACAACATGTGTTTGTAAATATGCAAAAGCAAACTTGAAAAATAATTTATTGTGTATACCATGTTTTCTGCACGAGTGTATGTGCATGTATGTTTGCTCATTTATTCATCTGCATCAACATTTATATTATACTTTGTTAGAATTTGTTTATTTTTACAATGTACTGGTATTCTTTTTTTCAAATATGTATCACTATAGTATTATTATGCATTAAAATTTTTGATTTTATTTTTTATTATTCATTTTTATTTAATTTTTATTTTGCTTTTATTTCTTAAGGTACACTTTAATGTCGGTAATATGTTATAACAGAAGGCATAAGAACAAATACAGATAGGAAGATCTAAGTTAACCAATCTACGGTAATCGCTTTAACAAGATAATTAATCCTATTTCAGACCTTTCGATAGTAAATGTTACAAAAGAAATTTTAACACTATCAGTAACCATAAGCTGATTTGTCTTGAACTTACAGGGTTTCAGTTAATACTTTTATTAACAAGTAAACATTGTTTCATTGGGTGATTCCAAATTTCTTTACACGAAATTAAAATTGATTGGTTAAAATTACCTAAGGGAATTAAGGGTCACATGATGTACAGTAAAATTGATTGGTCTATTATTGTTATGGAAGTTGTTGTTCTAAAGTCCTTTCCTCTGAAGAGCCATAGATTGTATGACTCTGGATTGAAATAGTTTAAAAAATAGTTTGAAAATAAATTGAGGAAAAGGACATCTTTTTGTATTTTAGGTAAGTCAAATATTTTAAGTTAATGTTAAGAGAATGTTGTACTTTGTAATTTTTGGGTGTTATAACTTATGTTCTGACTTAAATGTATATGTAATTGTTTTAACTACATGTAGAAGTTATTTAATATATTTCTTTCTTAGGTAATAACTTAAGATTTGTTATTGGTAGCACTTGGCGTAATTGTTTAAACTTTTCGTTCAACTAGTCGTTTCGTTTAATTTGACCAGTTGGCATAATTTAATAGAAAAGTAAACATGGCGCTTTCTGTCAGTAGAATTTATTTCCGGAAACTTTATATTGTTATTATTTGGTGAGAACTTAAGTTTTAATCTTTATTATATGTTAGAAGGCAAGATGATAATAAATGGGAATGAAAACATGTAATAGACTATGAAATCATCATCTTTTGTTTAATATAATCAAGTTAAAATGGCATGTTGAATGAAAATTATTGAATTCTACTTTCACTTTGTTTAGATAATTTGTATGTGTAATATAATTCTATTATAATTTCAATCTTTAATATCTGTTTATGTTATTCTATATATGGACATATAGATTGTATGACTCTGGATTGAAATAGTTTAAAAAATAGTTTGAAAATAAATTGAGGAAAAAGGACATCTTTTTGTATTTTAGTTGTACAAGAATTCCCCTAGTACCTAAGCAGAACACTTGGTGGGGTAGTGGATGATTCCGACCTCTCAAATTAGCAAGCGAGTAACCAGTAAAATCAGCAAGCGAGTAACCAGTAAAATCAGCAAGCGAGTAACAAATGCCACTTTCGTCTAGACCGTCAAATTATAGTTTGAGAAGTGTACAAACTCCGCCTACTGAGCCAGAACAGCCACAAGACCTTGGTTTGCCAACATCAACAACACGTGAACCTGGTTTTTTTCCAATGGCAGGTGCATTTAGGATGGAGGATTTTTACGGGGATGGGACACAGGATATTGTCCGTTATCTGAGAAGATTCGATGAATACGTGAGAGCAACGGCTCTTAAAGATGAACAGGCTGTAGCATCACTTGCCTGGCATTTGAAAGGCTTGGCAAGATTATGGTATGAATCGCAAAACATAAGACCAGAAAGAATAAATGAACTGAAAGATATGTTGGTTGCAAAATTCAAAATTGAAAAAGAAGCAAGTCTAGATATTTACACTATGAAACAGTCACCTGGTGAGACTTTGAACCAGTTTTTAAATAGGCTTGAACAAGCTACTTACATCAACAACATTCCTGAAAATGTACAAGTTCAAATCGCACTTAAAGGTATGGAAGGGATGGTTGGCCAGGCAATGGGGGCGCACGCTCCAAAAACATTACAAGAAGTTCGAAATTTGGCTGCCAGGATGGGGGATATCCATGGAAACATAGGTGATCGTGCCCAGATTAATGTGACAGAAACTTCTAAACTTGAACAGACAGTTGAGCAGTTGGTAGCAGCTGTAACAAGGTTGACAACAGAAAAGAACCGTGAAGGAAACAATGAAGACAGACACTATAAGAATAAACAACAACAGGCTGTTCCGTCATGTCATCGTTGTGGAGGTAGGTGCTATTCTGCTAATTCTTGTAGAGCAATGGGCAAAACATGCTATAAATGTAATAAATTGAACCATTTCGGCAATAAATGTAGAAGTTCAAAATTCGGGCATAACAATAATAGTTCTTTTAACAAAAAGTCTTGGAACCAGTCAAATAATACACAATAGGGGTGCGTGCCTGTCTGCAGGTCACAGCCAGTAGATAGGCATAACAGTATAGTTTACAAGCAAATTGATAACAACTTAAACAGTGCTAAAACTAAGGGAAAACAAACAAGATTTTATGAAAGAAAGTCTGATAGTGCTAATGTGTCATATATTGATCCAAAATTTTCAACTATAATGACTAGAAACACAGTCTCTGTTAGTATCAATAACACAAAAACTAGTGCTTTGTGTGATACAGGGGCATCAATTTCATGTTTAAGTGAGTCCTTTTTTAACAAAGCTTTCTTGGAGAAGAAGCCCAAAATAAGTGAGTCAAAAATTAAAACAATAGTAGGGGTTGGTGGAACACATCATGCTGTTAGTGGGGAAGTAAATTTAGATATAAGTTTTGGGACTGTTACCTTGGCTTCAAAATTTTATGTTATCAAAGATTTACATCATTCTGTGATTTTGGGCATAGATTTTATGGAAAAACACAAGGTTTCTTTGGACATTGCCTCGAAAAAATTTATTATTCATGACTTTTTGAAAGTGTGTTCTCTGAGCACAAATACAGGTTATGCTAGAACTGTAAGATCTACTAAGATACTCCCTCAGGCCGAAGTTAATATTCCTGTGAAAATATCAAGAGTGAGAACTGGTTCAAATGTTTTGTTAGAACCTTTAGTGTCATTAACTCATAAACATATTTTAGGTGCTAAATGCCTAGTTCATGTAGAAAATGGAAAAGCTGCTTTAAGAGTAGTTAATCCTACTAATAAAATTGTCTATTTGAAATCAAATAAAATTTTGGCAACAGTTTCAGAAGTAGAAAAAAAATCAGTATTTTCAATTGGTGATGTTGACAAACATTCACTTGAAAATGAACAAAGTTTAGGCATTTCAGACATAAAAACAAATTCAAAACCTAGCAGTACATTAGATTTCAATCTTAAAGATTCTGATTTAAATGATTACCAGAAAAAGCAGTTATTAGATCTTTTAAACAAAAATAGAGACATTTTCTCAGAAGGACTACATGATTTAGGTTGCACACATTTACAAACTCACAAGATTGAAACAGGAGATGCAATGCCGGTAAAACTACCAGCTTATAAACAAAATCCTGTGGTAAGAGAAGCAACAAGGGTTTGGGTACAAAAAATGTTAGAAAACAAAATTATTGATGCAAGTTCTTCAAATTGGCATTCACCAGTTGTACTTGTTAAAAAAGCAGGTTCTGATGAGTATAGGTTTGCAGTTGACTATAGGAAATTAAATAAGATAAGTAAACCTCAGGCATATCCCTTACCACGCCTGTCAGATATCTTTGATGCAATTGGAGAATCAAATTCACAGTTTTTTTCATCTCTTGACCTTGGTAAAGCATTTTGGCAAGTACCTTTAGAGCAAGACAGTAGGGAGAAAGCTTCATTCATTTGTGCAGAAGGAATATTTTCTTTTAGAAAAATGCCATTTGGATTATCAGGGGCTCCAGCTACTTTTCAGTCGCTTTTAATGAAAGTTCTTAGTGGTATCTCATGGAAATTTGTTCTCTGTTATGTAGATGATGTTATCATTTTCTCAGCCACATTCAAAGAACATCTCAGTCATTTAAATGAAGTGTTTAGTCGATTAAGACAAGCTGGTCTGAAACTGTCTCCAGGTAAATGTTACTTTGCACAGAAAAAATTGCATTATTTAGGGCATGTAATAAGTAAAGAGGGAATACAAGCAGATCCCAGAAAAATTGAAAAGGTTCAAAATTTATGTGCTCCAACAAATCAAAAAGGTGTAAAAAGCTTATTAGGTCTGACAAATTACTATAAAAAATTTATTAAAGGTTATAGTAAGATTTGTGCTCCATTGTTTCAATTGTTACAGAAAAATTCTAAATTTGAATGGACTGATGATTGTCAAAAATCTCTTGATACATTGAAAAATGCTTTGTGCTCAGCACCAATTTTGGCATTTCCAGATATGAACAAACCATTTATATTAACTTGTGACGCATCTCGGTCCGGTCTTGGTTATATTTTAGGACAACTAGATAGTAATGGTAAGGAACGGGTCATTGAATATAGTGGTCGTGCTTTGCAGGCTGCTGAGAAAAATTACACAGTATCAGAAATTGAATGTTTAGCAATAGTGTCTGGTGTAAAGGCATTTAGAGCTTATTTGTCAACAGACATTCCATTTACAATCATAACAGATCATCAAGCACTAAAAGTATTAAACTCTATAACAACTTCTCAGAATGGTAGAATAGCTAGATGGGCATTATTTTTACAAGGTTTTAAGTACACAGTACACTACAGAAAAGGTGAGTTGAATAATGCAGATGCTTTATCTAGACTTGTTCCTGATACATCTGATAAACAACAAATTTCACTAGTTACTATATCAAATGATGCAGAAAAAGACAGTTCTGTTACTGATGAACCATCAGGAGTAGATGTCGGTACCTACAGGCATACTGAAAAGGAGGTAAGAACAGTTTTAAAACATACTAATATTTTGGACAGTAAATATTTAGAAACAACATTCGAATATACTGGATCCTCTTCAGTGCTAGAGATACAAACTGACACAGAGACAAAAGATGAATCACCAGATGACACCGGTAAGTTGATATTGATGCAGAAAAACTGCCCAGATTTTGTTAATATTTACAAATATTTGAGTGAAGATGAATTACCTAAAGATGAAAAGCTGATGAGAAAAACAATGTATGACAAAGAGTTTTATGAAATTGTGGATGATGTTCTCATACACAAGTATCAAAATAGAGGTAAGAAAAAACCTACAGAAGATAAGTTCATAATACAAACTGCACTTCCAAAGAAACTTAGGGTGAAGGTCATGCAAGAATATCATGATCACAATGGTCACTTTGGAGTCAAAAAGACTTTTACTGAAATTCAAAATAAATATTATTGGCCACATATGTACCAGGAAATACTAGATTTTGTGAAATCATGTGACATATGTCAAAGAGCAAAACATACTACACATCAGGTAAGTACTCCTCTTAATCCTTTACCTGTAGTAAATGTATTTGAACGAATGCACCTAGATATCATAGGGCCACTTCACAAAACAACTGATGGATTTGAATATATACTTGTCTGTGTAGACAGTTTCTCAAGGTGGGTAGAGGCATTTGCATTAACTAACCAATCCGCTGCAGAAATAGCAAGGGTGTTACATAATGAAATATTTTGTCGTTATGGGGCACCAGTGTCTATTGTTACAGATAGAGGACAAAATTTCCTCTCCAAACTCATAAATGCAGTATGTGAAATTTACAATGTCACAAGACACCGCACAGCTAGTTACAATCCAAAGGCAAATGGATGTTGTGAAAGGCAAAATGCCACAATTATCCAGACATTACGTATGTATATCGATAAAGATCAAAAGAACTGGAACATGTTTTTACCAATAGTATTGCAAGCCCTTAGGTCATCACCAAACATTGAAACTTCAGGGTTTAGCCCCTATAAAATGATGTTTGGAGGTGAAATGAGACTCCCTATGGATGTAAATCTAATACCAAGAGAAACATTAGGAACGGAAGCTAAGCAACATATACAATCCTTGTTGCAAAGACTGAAGGTAATACATAATATTGCGAAACAAAACACTGAAACTACTCAGCAAGAATCTAAGGTAAGGCATGATTTAAAAGCTCAACCCTCTGATTTCAGACTTTTAGAGCAAGTATTATTGAAAATTAACAAACATACTCCAGGTCTTACATCTAAACTAGAGTATAAATGGAAAGGTCCTTATTACATAAGACAAAAAGTATCTCCAGATACATACAGAATTGCAGAAAGTAATACACATCAACTTCATAGAGCACCAGTAAATGCAAAAGACTTAAAAAGGTACAATGATCCAGACAACTTTAGGTTTCAAAGTGATGATGAGCAAATAATTGATGCACAATCCAGTTCTACTGACCATAATGATCAGTTAAATAACCCGGATCAAGGTAATGTAACAAATAACAATGACATTGAAAATAATCAAGATGACCAAACACAAACCCCAAGAAATCAGGTAAGTGACCAAAATAAACAATTAAATGTTTCAAGGGAAAAATCTCCTACACCAACTACTTCAAACAATAATGATGGGGTATGGTACAAAGCAAATAGAATTTTGAAATTAAGAATAAGAAATGGTATGAAAGAATACCTTATTGAATGGAGCAACAAAAAGTATAAGCCTACTTGGCAAACAGATGAAAATGTTAGTGAAGAACTGAAACGTTTATTCTATGTTCGATACACTAAAAGTGGAAAGAAAAGAAAAAGACAGTACAGATATTTCAATACATAAGTAATACATGTACTTAGGTTCAAACCCTATTGAGTTGTTATGTTCTTAGACACTTATAGTATTTCAAGTTCTTCAGGTTGTTGACTTGTGTACTTGGCACATGGTATTTAAATTCTTTTTCTTGAATATAGTTCAGGTCCGTATTATAAGATGGCAAAAATTAGTGCAGGATGGTTAGGATCACTATCTTTTGAACTGAATATGACTGTATATTATGTGATGACTGAATGTGTGCATTGAATGAATGGTCTTCTTTTTTTTTTCTCTTTTTACTTCAAATATTTAGTTCAAAGGTTAGGCAGATAAAACTGATCACTTTGTTTGTCCCTTTAGTGATTCTTTTCATTTCCTTGTATTCTAGTTGCTTCCATTGTCCTGATGCTGACCTTGAGCATGATACTATGTAGTCCATCGGTGTCTGGAAAGAAGGTCTCTGACTTGCAACGTTTGAATTATGGGGTTGTATTTGAACCAGTGGATAACTTGCAGTTGGCAGAAGAGTCATGGATTCATACATTTGAAATTATATTACCAAAAACAGCTAATTTGTTCAGTATTTTTGGTTGTAATAGAAACAAAAAGTTTTGTGATTTAGTAAATGAAATGTTAGTTGAGATTAATCAAATCCGACAGAGTACGGAAGTTATGATAAATGGTACAATTGCTACTATTAATAAATTGTTGCCTGAAAAGAAAATTTCAATTAAAAGTAGAAGTAAGCGTGCCATTTTACCTTTTATTGGAAGTCTCTCAAGATCAATATTTGGCACAGCTACAGTAAAAGATGTAGAGATGCTAGCTAGACATATCAATTCATTAAATAAAATATCAAGCAATCTGATTAAGTCTGTAGAACAACATGAAGATGATCTTAGTTCTTACATGAAAGCTACTGATGAAAGAATGAATAATATTGTTAAAGGATTGGAAGAAAATCATTTGGCTATTGAACATATTCAAACTCAATTGTTTGAATCATTTGATAATTTAGAGAAATCATTTACAACAATGAGTGCATTTATTTCTAAGCAAATTACAAAGTCTAGACAGCTTGAAACACTTTTCAATGAACTTTTGGATGGTATTTATGCTTTAATTGATGGTAAGGTATCTCCTCACTTAATTAACTTTGAAACAATGTCAAGCACACTGAATGATATTCAGAACATTCTTGACAAAAAGTTCATAGGATTTCACTTAGTATATACAGACCCAGCACTTATCTACCATTATGCTAGGACATTTTATGCTAGAAAAGGTTCTACTCTATATGTTTCTGTAAAATTTCCCATTTCACCAATTTTAAAGCCATTAATGTTATATAAGATAACTTCATTTCCAGTTCCAGTAAATGATACTTCAAATCATGCAACACAAATACTAGATTTACCTGATCATATTGCTATTACTAATGATCTACAATATTACACAACTTTTGGAAATCTGGAACTTCAAAAATGCAAGTTTAATAAAATTGTGCAGTGTGATTTTAATAAAATTCTAATGCCTGCTATTAAGAAATCTTGTGAATTCTCCTTGTTTAAAAATGACAAAATTTTAATCAAAGAAAATTGTAATTTTAGATTTTTGCTGAATCATATTTCTAATGATGTTGTTCTGCTATCTAAAGATTCTATATTAGTTTATAATGTTGATGTCCTTGAATATGATTGTAAAACTGGAAAGAAAATGGTTAAAGGTTGCAAATTTTGTACCATGAATGTGCCATGTGATTGTTCAGTTTCTACAAGTCATACATTTTTACCTGCAAGATTGACAGACTGCTATGAAAATACTTCAGCAAAATTACATCCTGTAAATCTTGCATTGCTACAACAATTTTTTAATGATAGTTCTTTGAAAGATATTGATAGTAATTCATTATTTGAAAATCCAATGGCTATAAATGTTCCAAAATTTGAAATTTACAATCACACTATGAATAAAATTTTAGCAGATGACAGCAAAGCTCATCTTAACTTACAAAAAATGGCACAATCAGCAAAAGAAAATTCACTTATTTATCAATCTCTCACAGATTCTTTACTGTCAGGAAATATTGCTTTGGATGATAATATTATTTCAACTAATGACATTATTTTATATGTCACAGCATCTGTTGCAGCATTTTCTCTGATTGCTTTCATAGTTACAGCATGTAAGCTTAGAAAAGTATTAATTATTGTATCTACATTACAAATCACTTGTACCAAACAAGTTAAAGCTTCAACTGTTCCATCATTAGTTTATATAACTTCTCAACAAGCTACAACAAATGACATGTATTTTTGGGAGAAACTAAATTTAAGAAATGAGCACTGGATCATATCCCTTAATGTCATAATCATAATTCTTCTTGTTTTTGTAATGATAAATACATGTAAAGTTTCAAGGAACAGTACTAAAATAGTGGTTGAAATCACTAATGGAAAACATTCTGTACAAGTACCACTTAAAACTTTAACTTTATGTCCTACCTACTGGCAAATAAAGGCACCTAAAAACATTGACCAAATAACAATCAGAGGTATGTGGACTCCAATTGTTACATTTGACTGGGATGATTTTGAAATAAAGAATAAGCTAACAAATCAACCATTACAGATAGAAACAAATTACAGGGTAAATTATTTTGTGTCCAGAAAATTAAGACATATTATGTCTACCACTTATTGTGCCTATTTCTTTATTCAACATGACAAATTGTTCATGCCTTTACAAACTTGGTAATACATGTTTATACCCATTGCTTTATAATAGTTAGTATAGATAGCACCACCTCAGACAAATAAATTGTATATATTGTTTTAGTATATATATGTGAACATTAATTTGTATTTTCATGAATTATCTTACAATGAAGACAGACTTTGACAAGATGAAAAGAAATAAATCAAATTGATGTCATATATTTTTATGTGTCGCATGGTGTATTGATATTTGTAAATATGTATATGTTTTCTTTCTATATAAAAAAAAAAACACACACAAAAAACTGGTGAGATACTTATATGCAATATGCATGAGAATATAAATGGTATTTAATGACAGTAAAAAAAAAATGCATTTATTTTGTTATTGTTGTAAATATATGCTTTTGTTTTGTACTTTATGTAGAAAAATACGGATATAATGCTTAATGCATTTACTTACTTAAGTACACATAGAATGCTTGATGTATTTAAATTTGTAGAGTTTGGATATATTACTCCTTTACTCTTTATAGGAATAAAGAAAATTTAGAGGAGGGGGTGGTATTATGCATTAAAATTTTTGATTTTATTTTTTATTATTCATTTTTATTTAATTTTTATTTTGCTTTTATTTCTTAAGGTACACTTTAATGTCGGTAATATGTTATAACAGAAGGCATAAGAACAAATACAGATAGGAAGATCTAAGTTAACCAATCTACAGTAATCGCTTTAACAAGATAATTAATCCTATTTCAGACCTTTCGATAGTAAATGTTACAAAAGAAATTTTAACACTATCAGTAACCATAAGCTGATTTGTCATGAACTTACAGGGTTTCAGTTAATACTTTTATTAACATGTAAACATTGTTTCATTGGGTGATTCCAAATTTCGTTTCACGAAATTAAAAATGATTGGTTAAAATTACCTAAGGGAATTAAGGGTCACATGATGTACAGTAAAATTGATTGGTCTATTATTGTTATGGAAGTTGTTGTTCTAAAGTCCTTTCCTCTGAAGAGCCATAGATTGTATGACTCTGGATTGAAATAGTTTAAAAAATAGTTTGAAAATAAATTGAGGAAAAAGGACATCTTTTTGTATTTTAGGTAAGTCAAATATTTTAAGTTAATGTTAAGAGAATGTTGTACTTTGTAATTTTTGGGTGTTATAACTTATGTTCTGACTTAAATGTATATGTAATTGTTTTAACTACATGTAGAAGTTATTTAATATATTTCTTTCTTAGGTAATAACTTAAGATTTGTTATTGGTAGCACTTGGCGTAATTGTTTAAACTTTTCGTTCAACTAGTCGTTTCGTTTAATTTGACCAGTTGGCATAATTTAATAGAAAAGTAAACATGGCGCTTTCTGTCAGTAGAATTTATTTCCGGAAACTTTATATTGTTATTATTTGGTGAGAACTTAAGTTTTAATCTTTGTTATATGTTAGAAGGCAAGATGATAATAAATAGGAATGAAAACATGTAATAGACTATGAAATCATCATCTTTTGTTTAATATAATCAAGTTAAAATGGCATGTTGAATGAAAATTATTGAATTCTACTTTCACTTTGTTTAGATAATTTGTATGTGTAATATAATTCTATTATAATTTCAATCTTTAATATCTGTTTATGTTATTCTATATATGGACATATAGATTGTATGACTCTGGATTGAAATAGTTTAAAAAATAGTTTGAAAATAAATTGAGGAAAAGGACATCTTTTTGTATTTTAGTTGTACAAGAATTCCCCTAGTACCTAAGCAGAACAGTATCTATAGCAGTAATGTTTTTAAAGAAGCCCAACTAGTAAATAACATAGACGTAAATAAAAACAACGTAAACAATAACAACGAAAATGATAATAATAATAATAATAATAATAATAATAAAAATAATAATAATAATGAAAATAATAGTAATAATAATAATAATAGCAATAATAATAATGATGATAATAATAATAATTATAATGATGATGATACAAATAATAATAATAATAATAATAATAATAATTATGATAATAATCAAATTGATGATAATAATAGTAGAAGTAATAATAATAATGGAAATAACGACGATAGTAAAAGTCTACAGAACAATACAATATCAAATAAAATTAATTGTAATCTTTCATTTCTTTCGCTGAATGTTTGTGGGTTGAAATCAAAGATAAAATGTCCTGAATTTACTGAAATGCTCAACCGATATGAAGTAATTGGATTACAAGAAACAAAACTAAATGATCTGGATCATGTCGAACTATCCGGTTACAAACTTCATTTTAAAAACAGGAAATTTAGTAAACGTGCTTCAGGCGGAATCGCTCTTGCTTACAGATGTGCTTTGTCGAAATATGTAACTGTAATAGAATCAAAATCTAACCTTGTTCTTTGGTTCTCTCTATCGAAAAAACTTTTCAAAACCGAATCAGACATTTTATGTGGTGTGGTTTACATACCACCTGAAAGATCAGATTACTCGGTCGAAGACCCGTTTTTAGAGATTCAGCTAGAACTGAACAGTTTATCAGACAAATACACATACCATTCATTATTCGGTGATTTTAACGCTAGGACCAAAGAACTAAACGACTACATTGTGTTAGACACCGACTTTTTTAATATGCAAAATCTTCATGAAATATGTGATGAGTATAATGCGGAAATGCAAAAATTTGATAATGCAGAACATTTGTCGAAGCGTCGTAGAAACTGTGATCATATTGCAAATAATTATGGTAACAGACTTATCGAATTTCTCCAGTTTAATAATATTTATATCTTAAATGGCAGAACAAAGGGAAACGAAACAGGAATGTTAACTTGTAAGTCCTCTAGCACAGTAGATTATTTTTTATGCAGTTCAAATATTTTTAAATACATAAACAACATGCAGGTATTAGATTTCTGTCCATTGTTATCGGATGCTCATAACCCTTTAAGTTTAACACTAAACATAGGAATTTCCAAAAGTACGGAAACCGATTCTAACGATACTCCTGACATAAGATTATGGGATAACTCTAAAATAAATGAATTCGTACTTAATATAGATTTGAATGAAGTATGTAGACTATCAGATAAGTTAGATAATCAGGAAATTAAAGACAATTTTAACCAAGAAACTGTGGATAATATCATGTCAGATATTGCTTCTTTATTTCTTCGATCCTCTAAAACATCTTTTGGTTCTATGCGCAACAATAAAAATAAAAATATAAATAATGAAAAATCGTCTGATTCATCGACGTGGTTTGGGCATAAATGTCGAACTGCGCGTAAACAATTCCATAAGGCTAAATACCTTTATAAATTGCGAAAATCAGAGACTAATAAAGAAAACCTTAAAACAAAAAGTAAAATGTATAAAGAAACCATGAAACTTTTTTTATAATAAAGCTAAAAATAAAAATATAGAAAAATTAAGGAAATTAAAACATTCTGATCCTAGAAAATATTGGAAAATTTTAAAAGGTAACAACAAAGAAAAAATAGAGTGTGGTATTAATGAATTGTATTCTTATTTCAAAGAAAATAATTTTGCAAGCAATATAAGCGATCAAATACCAGAGGTTCACATTCAAACGCAAAATGCAGAAATAAATGAAACTATCAACTGTCCAATAACTGAAGAAGAAATATCAAAAGCAGTCAAATCTCTAAAAAATAACAAATCATGTGGAATTGATAATATTGTAAATGAACACATTAAATACTCGTATCATATTTTTAAAAACGTTTACCTTAAACTATTCAATTTGATCTTAGACAATGGCACAATCCCGGAATCATGGACCATTGGACTCATAAATCCAATTTTATAAAAATAAAGGTGACAAATCTAAACCAGAAAATTACAGGCCCATAACTCTGCTCAGTTGCTTTGGTAAATTATTTACTTGCATTATCAATAACAGATTGACAAATTACGTTGAATCAAATGATATTTTACATAATTCTCAAGCTGGTTTTCGAAAAGGTTTTTCAACTCAAGATAATATGTTTATTCTTCAACATTTAATTCAATATAATAATAATAACAAAAAGAAATTATTTTTGCGCTTTTATCGCCCTTAAACAAGCTTTTGATACTGTTTGAAAGAAATTATCTAATTATAATATGAATACAAAATGTTTCAATTTTATTAAAAACATGTATCATAATATGTAAATGACGTGTTAAATCAAATTCATCTGTATTAAGTTTCTTTCCATGTAATATGGGTGTAAGACAAGGCGAAAACCTTTCGCCTTTGATGTTTTCTCTTTACCTAAATGATCTACACAATTTTTTTGACAATAATACTAATATAAATGGAATACTTATACCTGATAGTGAAAATACAGATGATATACAGACTTTTTAAAAATTATTTATCTTACTTTATGCAAATGATACTGTTATTTTAACTAACAGTGAAGATGAATTACAAAACTCTCTTGATTTATATGAAGAATATTGTGATGCTTGGAAGCTAACCGTAAATATTGAAAAATCAAAAAATTTAATTTTCTCAAAAGGAAGAATAGCTCAATATCATTTTTCATTAAATAATCAACAGTTAGAAATAGTGCAAGAATATAAGTACCTTGGAATATATTTTAGTAGAAGCGGATCATTTTTTAAATGTAAGAAACATTTATCTACACAAGCAACTCGCGCTATGTATAGCCTAATTAAAAATTCAAATAGATTAAGTTTACCCATAGATTTACAGATTGACATGTTCAATAAAACAATCAAACCAATTCTTTTATACGGATCTGAAATATGGGGTTTTGGAAATTATGATATAATTGAACGTGTTCAACTTAAATTTCTTAAGTATATTTTAAAATTAAAAAAGTCAACCCCAAACTATATGGTTTATGGGGAAACCGGTTGTACACCTCTCTCTATAGATATTGAAGAGAAAACTATCGCATTTTGGTCAAGAATATGTAATGTTAGTCCAGATACATTGCCAAATAAATTATCTTCAGTAGTTTACAAAAATGTAGTTAACATAGCTAAAACATTGGGCAATGAATCATTGAAAAGAAAATATCCTTGGTTTTATAATATTAAAGACATTTTTATCAAATGTGGAATGATACATATATGGACGAACCATCATTTCCCAAACAGTAAATGGCTAAAAACTTTCAGTACGACAAAAATTAAAAGATCTGTTTATTAACGAATGGTATGCTAATGTAGAAAACTCTTCTAAGGCTAGCTTCTATAAACTTTTTAAATGCAAATTTGAAAGAGAATCATTTTTATCCTTGCCAAAGTCAGCAATTCTATATTCATTGATACGATTTCGTACTCGAAACCACCATCTTCCGATAGAAATCGGAAACTGGGCAAGAATTCAATTAAATGATAGACTATGTACGTCATGTAATAAATTAGGCGACGAATTTCATTTCTTATTCGAATGCAAAATCTTTGAAAATGAGCGTAAACGCTTCTTAAAACCTTATTATTTTAGAAGACCAAATATAATCAAAACATCTGAATTAATGAATACTAACAATAAACAAGAACGTCTCAAATTAGGTAAATTTGTTAAGTGTATACTAAGTAGAATTTAAGGCACTGACCACTATGTAATAATTATAATATAACTTTCTTTTCTTCGAATATCAAAAGTGCTGCAAAGTCTCTGTTTCGTTTTGGGAGACCTAGTGGCACACATTTATAGTATTCCGCATTTCAACTAGACCACAGATCTTTGATTTTTCTAAAGGAAAGGTCAGAAGAAGTTGTCTAGGTTTAGAAATACTAATTAACTCCACTTTCGTATCTCAATATCTAATGCTATTTTTCACTATATGAAAATGTGTTATTTCTATCTACATTATACAAAAGAACTATTTTTTTCCTCTTTGGGCCTATGATATAGCTTTTCGCCAATTAAATATTGTAAGATTGTGTGGGAACTGTGGCCTCCGATACCTTTGTATAGGACTCACCGTGAAGTCGGGGGTACTCCTGTCCCCCGACCGCCATTGGGAAGTCGAGGGACAGGAGTGCACCTGGCACGGCCTGGGGCGCGTTTCATCGCAGGAAGACCTTATTGGAGCTTCCATGCCCCAGGTCGTGCTCTGATTGAGTTCAGGTCCACGATAGAGTAGACGGAGACCCCAGTTCCCGCCGATCAGAAAGTTTTTCTAGATCATATTCAAATTCACTCTGCATAACTAAAAACTTGAATATTATCTAACACTTTAACTAAAGGGAAGTAAATGCAACAACATCAACGTGCAAAGCCTTTTTTTGTTATCACCCCCATCTACCATTCGCATCTCTATACCATACCTTTTGTTATTGTTAAAAATTAGACTTCTCCATTTATACCCTAAAAATGATTCGCATGTTTACTTAAATTTTTGTAGTATATTCATTTACGCTAAAAATATTGATTGTCGTTACGACTATTGAGCAGAAATCGTCAATTTAATACTACACATTGTTGAAATAGAAAGTATACATGTGTGTGTGTGTGTGTGTGTGTGCGTGCGTGCGTGTGTGCGTGTGACGAGAAAAATGAAACAATACCTTTGAATGTAATACTAGCTTTCTTTATTATTTAATATGTTTTAGTAATATATATATACACAACAGTTTTGGCTCTCCACGTACTTAAAAACTGGAAGCACAATTCAATTATATTTTTCGCTAGTATGTTAATTAACTGCTATTTGAGCCTCATTATACTTTATTCATGTTTATTACTCCATTATGTCATGTTTGTA